GTGGCGCCACCGACCTGACTGCAGTACGCCAGGATGCTGCGGTCAATGTCGCAAATGGATCGAACCCCGCTGGAAATTGTGATTCTGGGGTTGCAAAAAATTGCTGCGCAATCGGAGACGAAGCACGCGCGCCCCTCGACAAAGGAAGAGATGAATCAAGTAATCCGCAGCCGGACCAATTGGAAGGAACGTGTTGTTTTTCGACTTGCGTGGATAACGGCGAGTCGTTGGCCCGAGATTGCGGCCCTGACCCCCAACAATTTCACACTGGAGCCGGACGGGGCCTTAATTTTGGATTGGTCCGTGGCTCAAAAGACGGCGAGGGCGGATCCCCACCGCGCCTCGCGGTTCGTGGAGATACGAGGGCAGGACGCGTTCGACATTATAAAGTTATGCAGGACGCTTCGACACAACGAAAAGCTTACGAATCTTACGACTGCTCTAGTCGAACGAGCTCTGGCTAATTGGAATGCCACGGCGCATTCCATAAAACAGGGTGCGTTGCGGCACGCTGCTCAAATCGTGGGGACGCACGATTTGGACCCACACGTGATCTCGCAGTTGGCGAAGCACGTCGACCCGTTCGACCTTCCCCAGAATACTGTTCGATATTTGTGGAGGTACACCACAATTCTGACCCAGGTGTCGTCGCTGGTCGCATTGATGTGAAGGGAGAAGCTGCGGAAGGGCAGGAACTCTGGTTGAAAGGAGAGGAGCGTTTTTTCCATGATTTTGGCGTCATGCTGCCACTATGAAGAGACGCACGACAAGGACGCGTTTGACTTGCTGCTGTAGCGGGATGGTTCGTTCATCTTGTGGAGTGGTCAACGTGCCCGTATTGAATCCGGAGTGGATCAATAGTCGGTTGAACCCGGCTACCTTGGAGAGGCTCATGCGAGTTTGGGGACTCGTCAGGCGGTCCCCTTTCCCTCAATCCTCCTCCGGTAAAGCGCGCGAAGTCTCGCGGAGGATTCCGACCGCTGACGCGCTGAAAGTTACGCTGCGCCACTGCGTGCTCGTGGGCGGTGCGCGGCTGCGGATTGGCGGCCTCAGCGAGAGCACGGCGCGCCTGATGCCACACGCCCTCGTCAACATGACGAACGTGACGTCGCTGGAGGGCACGATCGTGCTGCATGGCGCGATGCCGCTGCACTCGAGTGTGCTTCTGGCGAACTCAACGCTGCGCGCGACGGTTGGCGGGTCGCAGTACGTGCCGACTACCCATGGCCGTGCGGGATACCGGTACGGCTCCGCGCTTGTTCTGGACGGCGTCCGGCTTCTGTCGACGCGGTTTGTCATGACGCGGTCGACGCTGGTGTGTGGCGGGGGTTCGTGCGCTGCGATCCTCGTGGAGCGCGGCCTCGGCGCGAACCTGTCCAGCGTCTTCTACATGGACAACTGCGTTGTCGTGTCGCGGACGCACGTAATGTACGCTCTTGCGTCGGACCTGCGTGTTGGCGGCGGCTCCGTGTTTTCCATACAGAACAGCTCGCGGAGTGCGCCGAGCACCGAATACGGCGAAGGCGCGTGTGTGTTTGGGGACGTTGTTTTGGCTGGCGGCAGCGTGCTGCAGATTGTGTCCAGCACGTTCCGTCTCGGCTTCGCCATGCTCATGGCAAACACGCTGACTGTGACTGACGGCAGCTGGCTGGTGCACCGCGACAACGAGTTCTGCACCACCTACGTCGTGCACGTGGACAAGGAGAACGGCGTGGCGTTCCGCGATCGGAGTGTTTGGTCAATAATTGACAACAACTTCACGTACGGCTCGTTCTCGTCCTTCGCGTGTATGACAAGCAAGTGATCACCACCATTCCGACACGCACCCGAACATCTACGGCATGTGCGGCGAGATAAGGGGCTCACCTGTGACGAATTACGGAGTCGACCTC